CCCAGCTCTTTGGTAGCCTGGGTGGAAGGATCATTTGATCCCAGGAGTTTGAGACCAACCTGGGGAGCGTAGTAAGACCCTGTCTCTACAAAAAAAAATTTTTTAACTTCCTGGGCATGATAGCATGCTCTGGTGGTCCTACGTACTTGGGAGGCTGAGGCAGGAGAATCGCATGAACCCAGGAGGCAGAGGTTGCAGTGAGCCGAGATCGCGCCATTGCACTCCAGCCCGGGTAACAAGAGCGAAACTCCGTCTCAAAAAAAAAATAAAAATAAAAATAAAAATAAAAAAAAAAAAGAGACCTGAAGCTACTGACAATAGAGTGACCGGCACTCCTTCATTCTGTGGTTTTGCAGGGGACAGCCCCCCTCCCCAGGAGATCCCAGTCTTAAAGCTGGCAAGCTGCTGGTCTTTGGAGTCAAGCCATTGGAGCGACAAGTCAGCTCACACCCATATTCTGTCAACGCTGGAGGTCAGTAACTACAGCATCTTCATCATATCACACTCCTGCCCTCCAGAGGCATTGGGGTAGAGGCTCAGACTGGGAGGAAGCACTCTCTGAGGGAAGGCCCTGGGTCCCTTTTCTGGGATCTCTGGGAGAAGGCAGGTGTGATACTCACACTGTGGAATTCCCATCCTTTCTCTGTGGTCTTCATCCACCTGGAGTCATCTGCACTGGGCTGGCACTGGTCATTCTGAACCTGACATAAAAGAATTTGGGACCTAGTCTCAGCTTTCCAAGGAAACGGATACCTTTCCCCATGTTGCACCAGCCCTCCAGAGGGCCCTTCTTTATATGAGAAGAGTTGCCAATTTCCTTCAGGGACTGAGCTCAGAGCACATGAGTCTCAAAGTAGGGCAAGAGCTAGTCACACACACAAAATGAACGTGGACACCAAAGAATAACTTGTCACTCAGATGTGCTGTTTTTATGTCTGCGCTGGATAAAACACCTAGAAATCTCCCAGACAATTCTTCCCCCAAGAGTCCTTTCACTTTTGCCTTTTCTCCTTGCCTTCTGGGGCCTCAGCTCATTTTGCCCACAGCTCTCTCCAGAGGGAAAACAATGGTGATTTCCCAAGCAGGGCTATGCTCATGATGGATTCCTCAAATGGATCGGAGCCCCAGAGAGTCTTTAGCTCCCACCCTCCACCTTGGCCAGGGGCTTACGAAAAACTCAAAGATGATGCTGGAGTCCGGGTAGTAGTATTCGAAGTTAACGGTGCCCGACTGCTTCAGGTTGACGGCATACATCAGCGTGGCCGTGCATTCGTCTGTGTTGGAGGCAATGTAGTCACCCCGGGGAACCCACTTGGACCTGTGAAGGAACAGGAACCAGGTTCACAGGCAGGAGCACAGCCCACCAGGCTTTGCGCCATGTGCGGGTCTCATGTTCTGCTGGGTCTTTGGGAAATTTCAGGCTTGTAATTGACGAACTGAAGCTTGGACCTGAAAATGCTCAGTGAAGAAAGACAAAAGAAGCTGCCAGGTAGGTCAAGGACCTGGTGTACAGCCGAGAAGAGGAGGCAGACAGGCGAAGAAGACAAGCAGGCGTACCTCCACATCGTGCAGAACTACCTGGGATACAGGTGGCAGGTGAAGAGGGGTGAGGGACAACATTTTTTTTTTTTTTGAGACAGAGTCTTGCTCTGTCTTCCAGGCTGGAGTGCAGTGGCATGGTCTCAGCTCACTTCAACCTCCGCCTCCTCCTGGGTTCAAGTGATTCTCCTGCCTCAGCCTCCCGAGTAGCTAGGATTACAGGCATGCACCACCACACCCGGCTAATTTATATATATACATATTTTAGTAGAGACGGGGTTTCACCATGTTAGCCAGGCTGCTCTCGAACTCCTGAACTCAAGTGACCCACCCACCTCGGCCTCCCAAAAGGCTGGGATTACAGGTGTGAGCCACTACGCTCGGTCGGAGAGGGATAACATTTATTGGTTGCTTACTGCCTTCCAGGTATTGAACTATGTGCTTTATATTCATGATTTCTTTTCATCAATAAGAGGAAATGCTTTTTCTGTTTAAGAGATGATGAAACTTGGGCTTGGAGAGTGCCAAGCCCAATATTACAAAACCAGCACGTGGCAGGGCTGAGATCGGGGCTGCCTAACTCTAAAGCTGTCAAATAACTCAGTAGACATAGTTATTCTTCAGAACTCAGACATCCACCCAATCTAGCCCAACTGTTTTTCCAGAATTGTCCACTATAAGATGCTACGTGTAAATTGTTTTTATGGAAAGGGGAGGGCCAGAGAACCCCAGAGACTGCCAATCTAGTCATGTGCTTTGTCTCCTATATGTGTTCACTCTATTCACCCTGTCCACAGGCTGTCCCTTCGCTCACCACCACACCATCTATGAACCAGCCCCCAAACCTGTCTCCCTGAAGCCAGTCTCACATCCTCCAAGCCCTCTCCACGCTGCAGTCCAGCGGACAGATCCTCCAGAACAGACGTCTCCCTTGCTTAGAATTAAAACCCCTGCTGGGCGCAGTGGCTCACGCCTGTAATCCCAGCACTTTGGGAGGCGGGTGAATCACCTGAGGTCAGGAGTTCAAGACCAGACTGACCAACCTGGTGAAACCCCGTCTCTACTAAAAATACAAAAATTAGCCAGGCGTGGTGGCGTGTGCCTGTAATCCCAGCTACTTGGGAGGCTGAGGCAGGAGAATCGCTTGAACCTGG